ATCTTAGCTATGGTAAATAATGCTGCAATAAACATAGTTGTGCTGGTAGCTTTAGTGTGGTCTTGTTTGTAAACATTTGGGTAAATGCCCAAAAAACACAGGATTTCTTATACCTCAAAACAGAATGAAGAAAATATGTTTGCAGTTCTGGCACTTTCTATCTGCACCCAACGACTTCCGCCTTCTGCAGGATCACATCCACAGCAAGAAACCCTGCGTCCTTCCAGCCTGCTTCCCTCTGAGTGTGGCCCTGGCTCTTACACCAGCAGCCACCCTGTAACTCCAGCATGCCAAGAGTTCTCTTTTCAAAACAAGGTTTTTTTAAATGCTTCAGAAGTCTCAAGCCTTCACAGGCCCATCTGCCCAAGCCCAGCAGCCCCAGTGTGGCCTGTCTCTCCAGCCTGTTCTGTAGTTACTAGAACATTCTACCTGCCATCTCCTATCATCCTGCAGTGGTCCTGAATGGGCAGAGGTTATTATACAAACACCCCAGTGAAGAAATGGTGGCTGAGTGTGGAGAGGTCTCCGCTGCCTCTTTCCACACATTATCTTACAGTGATGACCCTCTGGTTCCCAGAGGGCAGCACGGGGCGCAGACCCCTCTGCCCCAAAGGCTGACAGGTGTGAGCTGCACAGAGGCTTCCTGTCTGTCCCTCCACAGTCAGCTTCCACCGTGTCTGAGGACTTGACTGGTCTTGTGACAGCCCTCTGTTCCGGCTTCAGACCCCAGAGGTTTCCCTGTTAGGAGGGGCCTCATGCCAGAGGTTTCCCTGTTAGGAGGGGCCTCATGCCTATGTGGCATGGGGGAGGTCTGGAGGGTGAAACAAAGTGCAAGTAATAAGCTTCCCAAATACCTGAGGATGGCCCAGATGAAGCATCTGCCTTCAGGCTTTGTGTACTGACATTTGTGCCACTGTTCACACCTCATTCCCATTCCGGTTTATTCTGGTATAGTGTAGAGAGGCAGCTGGGCCTCATACATCTTCACTGGGTAAAACTCTAGAACAACCTCTTGTCTCAGAGATTCTAAGATTCATGGCTTAGGCAAGGGTAACCATTTCACATGCCTATTCCACTTGGTTCAACACAAGGGGCATCACAATTGGCCATGGTAAGCCTGTGGCTCAGCTGCTGTCTGTCACATGCAGATTCTGGGGCATGGAACTCTGACAATCACAGTTATTAATGAATCCACCAGGCCCCTGAGAGCTGTCACAACTTGTGGGAGAGTTGAGTGTGAAGCAGAAGCAAGATGCAGGTAGGAGAAAGACACCATCACACCTATACAAGCCCACTCACCCACCGTACCTCGTTTCCTCCAAACAGAATCATACAAGAGCCAAACTCCTCCATGGCTCCTCTCTTCTCCTCTCCTCCCACCCTACTTTCCCTACTGGGTGTTCCTTGTATTTCTCCATCATTGGGCTCCATGACCTTTCACCACCATCCAAGCTATTCCAGAAGGCACAGAGCAATCCCTCCTCCCCACAAATGGCCACATGGCTTTTGCAAAACAGACCTTACCCCCAGTGGGACACAACTTTTGAGCCTCTCAGGAACAAGATGACATGAAACAAGTTTCTTAAGACTGAGCTGGGTAATGTACTGCTGTGAAAAGGGATAAGGAAACCTCTGAGTGCTGGGATTCATTTGCTGAACTGGAGGGTTGCCTTTTCTAATGGAAACACTATTTGCAATGCTGTTGTTTGTGTTTTCAGTGGCACAGAGCAGACATACAGTGAGTATTCATGTGAATCTAGCACCTTACACACCTCGGCCATCTTTAGTTTCAGAAGTTCTTCGTTTAACTTTTAGACAGGCCATACAGAAACACTGAGCAAAATTCAAAACATTCAGAAGTGTAAAACACAGCTGAGCATGAGCCTTTCCTCCTGGCCTGGTTCCCAGCTGTTGCCCAGCTCCAGCTTGTCCGCCTCGAGGTCTCTTGGAGGGTGCCTCTGAAGGGAGCAGAGCCCCCCACGTGGGATGGCTGTATGGCGAGGTGCCCATGTGACTGGGCTCGTGTGCCCCATCTACACATAACTCACTCAGCTCCCTGCCATGCTGTAAGGCAGCTGGGGCTTCAGCAAAACTAGCACCCTGCAGCTTGGACTCTCCACCTCTTCACTTATATGTTCCTATCACAGGTTTTTGGTTATAGAACCAAAAATGGGCCAGAGCATGACACCAGCACTGATGATCTGGGCAGCAGGGGCAATGTAGTGATTTGGGAGCAAATAACTCTACAATACCAAATGCAGCTAATTAAACATCTAACTGAAGCTCCACAGATGGCAGGACCAGCCAAAGCTCTGGCATTTTTTGGTTTGTATTCTCTCTTGTCAGCTTCAGAGGATATTTGCTTGACTTGTTAAGAGTCATGTGGAAGGTCTCACACTTTTGCCCAGCTGGCCTGGACTGCCGTCCTGCAGTCTTCCATAGAGCTGAAATGCTCAGCTTATGCCAGCATGAAAACCTTATTGGTTGAGATGGGATCTCTCTAACTTTTTTCCTGGGCGGGACTTGAAATACAATCCTCCTGATCTTTCTTCTCCAAAGTAGCTGCGATTACAGGTGTGAGCCACTGCACCTGGCCTACAATTTCATTTTTAGGCTTTAGCAGTTCTGGCATTCCTGACATGTGTTCCTGTGGTATTAGAGGTTTTATTTTGTCAGGTATGTTCTTTTATACTCTTCTTTTGTAAGGTATGGCTTGTTTATACTCTTACTCTGTCAGATGTAGAGATGTATGTGTGTGCATGTGCACACACTGGTCCTAGAGCTACATTCAAGGCCTGGGCACTGTCCCTAAGATTTTTAGCTCAAGGATAGCACTCTACTACTTGAGCTACGTCTCCACATCCAGCTTTTTGGTGAATAATTGGAGATAAGAGTTTCACAGACTTTCCTGCCTGGGCTGGCTTCAAATTATGATCCTCAGATTTCAGTCTCCTGAGCAGTATAATAGGCGTGAACCAGCCACTGGCACCCTGCAGGTATGCCCTTTTTTTCCCTCTTCCTTTATCAGATATGTCCTTTCTTCTTCTTCCTTTGGCAGGTGTGACCTTTCTTCCTCTTCCTTTGTCGGGTATGTCCTTTCTTCCTCTTCCTCTGAAGCTTCTGCTATGAGATATTGCATCTCACTTCTAGAATACAACTGAACATACACGGAGCCTCTGCTGTGACCAGACTAGGCTCCACAGCCTCTTCCCACTAAGCTCTCTAACAGATGAATAGACATAGTCTGTGCAAGTGAGACATGTTCAGTCCTCACATCCAAGGGAAGTCAAACCAGATCCAGCCTGCTCAGATAGCAGTCAACCACATTATACACTTTAGTGGCATGAACTGACACTGTGCAGCAGCTAGTGACAGAACCAACATCCAAGATGGGCCTCCTTCTCCCCAGGACTCTCTCCTTAATGCTGGCACCACTGTGAGAGCACCCTAGAACCTTAGACAGCACCTTGAATACTCCAAGTACCACTAAATCCTGAGGTGGGAAGCCCTAGTACCTTAGGACCTCTAGACCTCAGAGATATCCCCTAAATCCTACAACAGCACTCCATTTGATTAGGGGCTAGGCCTGACAACAGTAGTCCAAGCTTTGTACATCACCAAGAACAGCTGGAAGGAACTGGTCATCCAAGTGCTGATGCCCATACTCAGGAGGGTGGCTTCCTTTGCTGCCCACTAGACTTGGGTCTAGACCATGTGCCCAGTGGAAGAGTCACCTGGACTTTTCACTCAATTATCACAAGAATCTCCTTGAAGCTGGAGGGAAATGGAGGCTCAGGGACCTAAGAGGATCCACTGAGCTTGGAGCAAGTCTGTCTGGACCCAACACCTCTCATAGCTCTTCTGTCCTTTCAATCACTGGCTGGAGTCAGGGACAAGAGCAGCCTGGAGGCAAAGAGGAGAAGCTTCTCCTTGAGGGACCCTGGAAGGAATCCATCTCAAAGGTTGTCTGGAGAAGGTGTGGGACATGCTATGCTCCAGCCTTGAAATGCTGCTTAGAAACTGTTCTGAACTCTCTGATAGGAGCCAAGATTCAGGAAGACATGGGAGGCCACACACACTAAGACAAGATGACAGGCACCACCGTACTCCTGCCAGGGGCTACTCGACTCCACATGCTCACCCTAAAGGCTCCAGACTAATACTGACAGTCCCTCTAGGCATAAGAGTAGAGGGTACTTGGAAGAATATAGAAGAACGAGAGGAGAAAAACAATGAAGGAAACAGCCATTTAAGTACCTACCTATGATGGAATCCCTCCGGAATACGTCTCTATCGAAAATGTAAAACGAGAGGTGACGAAAACTCCGAGGAATTTCACAGTAAAAGTCTTCTCCATAAAAGGGACTAGACAAACAAACAAAACAAGCATTGTTAGAACCCATGCTGCAGTCAGCTTGTGTTGGCTGAGCAGCAGCCCGGCCTCCCTCCTGGCCAGCCCTGCTCTCAGGAACACATCGGCAGTCCTATTTTCACATGTGCCATGGGAACAACCATTCTGAGTTCCACTTGTGAGATATGAAACTGGCTCAGAAAACAGACTGCCCCAAACCCTGGTGGGGTGGCTCAGCATTCCTCTCAAAGAATGAACCTCTGTACTTGGTTTAAATAATCGAGCTCAAGAATCACAATTCAGGAATCAAGAGCTCAGTGTGGATCCTGGCCTTTAACAAAGTGCCCATGTTCAGTGCGGATCCTCAAGACAGTTATGATGTTTTAAAGGCAAATGATTTAGGTAAAGGGTAGCAGTACTCAATTATACATTTAAAGGAAAAAAAACATACAATTCCAGTCTCAGGCACACTTCTCTTTCCCCTCCCCCCACCAAGATCTAGTGCAAAATCTACCCAAAGCACTGTCTTTGATTCTGATGGGGAAAGGTCCCTACTGCTCTTGTGGCTCACAGCCTATGTGTGAGTCATTCCACAGCTGTGGCAGCCTTACACTTAAAATAAATGAAAGCTCTAATCAAGGGGCAGAAAGCCAGTGGGCTGTCACTAAACAAACCTCCCTATTGTCTTGGAGGGGTACTTGGAAATATCAGCTCTTGACATCACAAAGACACCAGTGGACCTGGTGAGCTGCTTAGGAAATCAAATGACCACTTCAGTACAGACACTGATCTAAGTTGCCATTAGATGCTTCATGTACATTTCTGGCTAAATTCCAAAACAGGAAGCTTGATTATTCAAGGAGGAAGTAAAGCAACGTGTCATGTTCTGAGGCAGAAGCAGGAAGGCACCCAGCACTGGGCCTTGTCGGGTGTCTGTGTGAGATAGCCAGAAGCTGGCCACTGTCATAAACAGAACTAACTCAAAACAGATCACACACCACACGTGAAGGCTGGAATCATAATGCTCTCAGAAGATGGATAAATCTGTAACCTGAAGTCTTATAAAGTTAAGCCAGATGTCATCAAACTTTAAAATACAAAACACTTTTTTTTTGGGGGGGGGTCCAGTTGTAGGGCCTGAACTCTGGGCCTGGGCGCTGTCCCTCAGCTCTTCAGCTCAAGGCTAGCGCTCTACCACTTGAGCCACAGCGCCACTTCTGGCTTTTTTCTTTTTGCTTATGTGGTGCTGAGGAGTTGAGCCCAGGGCCTCATGCATGCAAGGCAAGTGCTCTACCACTGAGCCACCTTCCCAGCCCAATATAAAAACACTTCTATATTTTAAACAACACCAATAAGAAAGTAAAGACAGACTTGGGAAAAATATTTGCTAGTCAGTAATCTGTCCAGAGTATACAAAGGACCTTAACAACTCAGTGAGAGCATGTAATTTTAAAATGGGCAAAAGATTTGAACAGACGCATTACCTAAGAGGCAAGCATATAAAAAGTGTATGAGTGTTGGATGCCTTTGGCTCATGCCTATAATCCTAGTGACAAAGTAGACTGGGATCTGAGAACCATGGTTTAAAGCTAGCCTAGGCAGATAAACCCAGAAGACTCTGATCTTCAATTACCAAAAAACTGGAGCTGGATCCATGGTTTAAGTGGTAGAACTCCAGTCATTAGTGAAAAGCATCTGAGTGAAAGAGTTAAACAAGAACATAAGACCCAAGCCATGTACACACACACACAGTGCATGAACATATACTGTGGACACAGCTGTGATTCCATGTGTGCACAAACATATACATGTGTGTGCATAAGAACATGTATGTGGGTTTGTGCAGGTATCTTGAATGTGTTTGTGTGTACACAAACCAGCTAGTGTGCAAATGCCACAGACACGTTTATATGTGAGTGTGTATGAATATTTGGAGCCAGAACTATGATTCAAATGTAGGAGGTTGGTGAGCTGCTCCTGGTCACTCAGGTGTGATGAGATGAAATGGGTGAGACCCCTTAATTAATTAATTCTTAGAATTACCTGTTTGTACCTGCAAACAGACAGCCATTCTGATAGCTGCCTAAAGGACTAGGGTGAGCATCACCAAGATACCACAAGACCTTAGCTGTGACCCTGGCTCTAGAGGCATCATTATTATCCACACACCTATAGAAAACTGGGCTTGAAGAGGTTGCTCACTGCTTACTGTCTTCCCGCTCTGCCTGCCAAACAGTTCACAAACTAGACTTCCCACCCCTGCCTGGGCACCAACACACAGCTACCAGCCACGCTTGGCCATGGCTGGGATCTGGGTTGAGCTCCCTGTGTTGGAGTTTGATCCTCATTGTGGGAAATTAGGAGGGCAGAAATTTAATTCAACTCTCATGTTTGGAAGGGTGCATTTGGATGGTGACTAGGGTTAGATAAAGTAAATGAGGCTCCATGGCTCATGTCTGTAATCTCTGTTACTTGAGAGGCTGAGATGGGCAGACTGAGAACTAAGGATATCCTGGGCTACAGAGAGACCCTATACCTCCCAAAATTTAGTTCAGGTTCTCAGGATAGACATCCATGGCCGAGGCTTGGGTACAGGCACAACAGCCAGTAAACATACACATGTGCTCACACACATGGATGCATACACACATGCTTACTACAGTCATAAATATGATTTCACACACCTATACATCCTTATACACATGTACACATGCTCCATTCTATCCCTAACATGATACATGTACCACAAGATAGCTATCAGCAGATGTGGCTCTCGGCCTTGGACCAGAATGACAGTCTGCCTTAAGTATTTCATAAAACACAGTGTAGCTACTTCAGTCTAAAGTGATTAAAATTAATTCTATTCAAAATTCAGTTCCTCAGTTTCCCCCAGCCACATGTGACCAGGAGCTAGCAGAGTATACAGAACAGGTAGAAGCTGTGTCCAGATTTGTGTAAAGTTCTGTAGAATCTGCTGGCCCTAGAGCAAAGGGGCTGTGTGTTTATTTGAGGTACAGATCCAATTCCACCCTCAGGAGAAGAGTGGTTCCTTCTCTCTCAGGGTGATTTGAACCCTTGCCTTAGTGTGAAAACAATATTCTCCTTCTGCAGGCCCTGCCAGGGAGTGGCAGGCAGGCCCAGACCTATCTGGCCACTCTTCCTAGTCCTATCAATCATCTGCATCTCAACCACACAACTGTGGTACCAGAAGCAACCATGGTGCCCATACACAGGCTGCTTCTGTTCCCAATTCAACCTAAGATCCACACAAGCCACTAGGCCCTCCCCCCACATGCAGGAAAGATGACAATTCCTGAAATGTAAGCACTGGCACTGTCAAAGAATGCGGCCCTCACAGCCAGCCAGGTGCAAACCTGGAGTAGTCCTCATGTCCATGTCATCAGGAAAGGGGGATGGAGCCTGGCAGCTGCTTCTGGGGAGCACACAGGGTCCCTGGGCACTGAAGTGTGGCGTGGCTCTGGGAGCTTTGACTGAGAACGGAAATACTACCACTGCTCAGAATTGTTTCGTGACACTTGGACCTGCATTAACCAAGCTCATTCTTGCTTCAGTGGACATTCACGCTGCCAATCCCTGTGCAGACTCTGCAGCAAGGGGGAAAGGCGACAAGTCAAGGCTTTCCAAGGCTCTCCTTATGGGGAAAGATGAGCAAAAGACAATGACATCTGGGCACTGCAAAATGATAATGAGCACTATGAAGCAGGACATGACAGGGCTGCTTCCTGCAGTGAGTGGCAAGCTGACCAGTCAGTGTGGACCATGAAGAGAACTAAGGAGGAAGATGCAAAGGCCCTTGGGGCCACCAGGGCTCACAAGTGGCAAGAAAAAAAGCGCAATGAGGAGGACAGGTATCAAGGCAGTGTGGGACAGGGCCCTCTAGCCCAAACACGAGGGTCATGGCGAGAGCTGTAGCGAGCTAGACATGTAGGGCAGGAAACCCAGGGTCTCCTGGACAATTAATGGGATGGCACTGTGGTGCAGTCCTGCTCCAGCTCCCAGCAGGATCATGACAGAAGCACAGAGGCTCGTTCAAAGGATGAGGGGGCTGGAGGTAACGTGGCAGGAAAGCAGACTGGGAGTGAGAATGCCTCCTATCACCTCTGTGGTGCCGAGATAATATACCAAAGGACAACTGGAAATATGGAAACCATGTGCACACAGGCATGCTCAGAGTGGGACTTGGGCTTAGAACCTCATGCAAAAGGAAACAGTCAAGGCCATGCCCCCTTACTGACTTAGAGGAGCAATGGAGGACAGAGACTCCGAACTGTCCTGAAACCTGGTCACAGAGAGGATAATGGCACTTTATGCCCTTGGGAATACAGAACAGAAAGAACAAATGTCACCACTTGAGACTCTACCTCATCATACTTCCATTCCTCCATCTCTCCAGCACCAAGCATTCCCAGGAACACAAGAAGACAGACAGGCATCACAAGACCCTATAGCTCCCTCTCTCTTCACCCCATCATGTGGCCTGCTTAGTATGAGGGTCTCTGGCTGCTTTAGGTCTTGCATAGAACTGTGTTTACCTTTAGCATGCAAATAAAAGCAGCATGCAAAGGCTGCACTGAGGTTTCACCCTGGAGGGGGCTCCTTGGGCAAGATGAGGGTCACACAATAGAAACTGATATCTACACAGCCGTCCCTCAGAGTCCACAGGGGGTGAGGACCGTTGAAGATACCAACATCCAAAAATGCTTGCCAGCTATCCTATACCAAGGAATAGGGCATACAGAGTAGCCCAGGATTCCCTAGACTTCGTTGAAGCTGGGCGTGAGTCCTACATGACACCTGACCTCTGTAACTGTGGGTCCTCTGCTCCAGCATCCCACCTGTGTATATGAGACGTGCCACAGTTAACATAGAGGCCTCTGTCCACAGTGTTCCTTACAGAGTGGGACAGGCACCTAGCACCAAGGCACAGGGAAGATAGGCCGGCCACACCAACTCTACGCAGCCAGCTCTGTGTGGAGTAGTGGTTCACTGGTCA